CTGTGCCTCTTAGCAACAGATCGCGACGGCGGAAGGACAGATGGGGCAGTGACGTCCCAAGCCAGCATAGTCCGAAAACACAATTCACCGAGACGAGATCGAGATGAGAGGCGCAAGTCCATGACTGCAACGGCGAATGAACAAAGAAAAATGGAAGAGAGAGAGAGAGAGAGCTTTTATTTAACATACAATGATAGAGTGAGTGGCTGTAATGCCTGTATGTCACTGTTGGGGGAAGGGAAAGGGGATAACAGAAAGAGAATAATAATAATAATTCCGTGTTAAAATAAATATGAAAAGAAAACAGGTAAATAATTAAAATGGAGGGCGGGGATTTTCCCGTGCAAATATTAACTCGGCTGCCCAGTGGAGCTAGAGGACCTGATCCGCCCCCGAGCCGACAAATCACGGCCGAAAGAGCCCTCCGTGCACTTAACGCCTTTCTTGTGGCGACGGTAATGGCAAGCAAAATGGAAACATTAATGATGATAACAGGCCCAGCGCAAGTCGTACAGCGTCACACCGCAGTAGGACTTAGCAGTATTTAAGCAGCGCTGCCAAACCAAGCCAATCCATGTGCAGCCAACATAGAATCCAAAATGGTCGCTTCTCGGTGGTGTTTCCCGCTGATTGCTTGCAATGATTTTGTCAGAGAAATCAAACTTTCAGACTTCAAGCTGTCCAAAAAATTGGTTGTGAATATCCACTATTTCTATCGGGTAGGTCACGGTTGCTCCCTTAGGTCCGAAATATTAAACAAGCCCAAATTATCGGCGACCGAAAAATCGGCTGGCGACTGTAGTTTTACTCGTTTCCGAAAGAGGTCTGCAGCTTGATCAGCCGCCGTGAATGGCACATTGTATTCAATCAAAAATGCTGTACAAAGGCATTCGGCTAAGGTAGTGTCGTGATCCGTTGATCGGCTAAAGTACCCTCGAAGCTTCTTGTTGGTTTTAACTAGCTTTGCAGAGTCCTTGTGCTTTATTGTATTCAGATGACACAGGATGTCCTGGCAACCAGCGTGCGAAATGTTGACATCGCAGCGGCACAGACGGTGGCGGATTTAACGGAGGGGGGGGGGGGGGGGGGGGGGGGCGACGGGGGCGGCCGTCCTCCCCAAACAAAGTCAACCCCCCTCTCTCCCCCCTTCTCGGAGGACAATTTGACATGGGTAGACTCCCAGTGCACAAGACAGAATGGGAGAATAGTATCCTTACAAATTTTCTGCCCCGCCCTGCCCCCCCCCACCCCCAAGACAGAGTTTTGTATCCGCCCCTGGGCACAGACCACAAAATGCATACCTTTCGCCCTTGCGCGATGTCTTGATAAATGGAAAGTCGGTCGAATAGCTGGGAATAAACACTTGAAAGTATTTTTTCCCCGACATCTTGTAGTAAAGGTGGCTTCAAGGGATCATATGCAAAAGTTCCAGTAACATAACACATAACGTGCGCGACAACCAACGTTGCCGCAACAAAGGAGATTTCCAAAACAGAAAGTTAGTTTGAATTTGAATGGATGGATGCTAGCGGCTATACCCTTTGTAACGAGGAGTGTTACAAAGGGTATAGCCGGCCCTAGCATACAAGCCGATGTACCAGTGTTGCCAACACCGACTTGTAGACTGGAGAGATGCAGCTCATGCAAAAACAACTGCATATTTTATTCTTTTTTACACGGGATTTGGAAAATTGTACAAATACTGTTGTTTAAAATTTTTAGTGCAATGCAAGCAATACCATCCGGGAACAAGGAGCAAACTACCTCAAGCACTTGAGTTTCTTACCTTATCCTGCTTTTGTACTGTTGTACTGAGAGAAAATTAAACCTAATATGTTGGTCCACATAAATAACACATAGGAAGCTCGAACTCGGTGAGACCTTGGCACTAGCGGTAGTGATAGAATGCCAAAGCTTGAGGACATGACGTTACCTTGATCAAAATATAAAACCGTGAAACAGACTTTCTCTGCGAGCCCACGTCCACCCTAAGAGAATCGTCAAACCAAAAAATGAGATTCTGGGAGCCTGTAGCATTTATATCAATGCAAAAACCTGCCAGCAAGCAAGAAAGCCATACTGCCTTTCTTGCTGACAAGTGTTTCTTTTTTTAAGGGGGGACACTACCCAAAATAAACAATTTCTGCAAAAAAAGGAGTTTGAAAAAGTGACATATTTACATCCACCAACATCTAAAGAATATTCCCAGAAAGTTTCATTAGTTTACATTACATATTTAATTTTTCATAAATTATTTTCGGTCCACCGATGCTTAAGAAAAGGCAAAGGTTGGAGCACTTTAAATGCATTTTTCTCCGTTCCACTTTTCGGCATAAATTTAACTTTAGGATTTTCCTATTACACAATAGAGAAGTATTAGGTGGTTTTCTGGGACAGAATTTTGTGAGGAACGTGCCTGGCTGCTTAGTTTTTCTACTTTAACACTTTTTTATGATAAAAAAACTACATTTGTAAAAAAGCACAGACATGAAAAAAAAGTAATTTTCTGATGGAGTTATGAAAAACAATGCAACATAGCAAAATAACTAGCTGGGTATGTGCTATGGGTATTCCTATAACTATATTACACAAAAAAATCACAAATTTTTATTTTATTTTAAGAAAATAGTTTTTCTAAGCAAACACACTGACTTCCATGTTGTAACATTCATAACAAGTTTCAGAATTGACATAGGACAATGCAATTTGGCAGGAATAGGCTTGTTACTCTGTGGGCAACCTGGCGATTCCAAGCGGTTGGCCCAGGCTGCCCCTCCGACAATCATAAGTGGTCATCTTGACCACGAGAGGGCCAAGGGCAACTGGCCACGCGAGCGGCGCTCCGCCGCTGATAAAAGGCCGTCGCAGCGGATGCGGGGGGGCTGTTGGGATCGCGGCGCAGGCGATAGCGGTCATTAAATGTTTACGTGTTGTTGAACCGGTGTGCTGTGTCATTCTCCGAGACGGGTAGCAGCAAGGGAAATCCCACGCTGGCGCCCAGACGTGATATGCTGCTCGTCTGGGAGGATGGCAGCAAACTGGGTTCGTTCTTACGTTTTACATAGTCAATTTTGCGTTCCTGAGTTTGCCCAAAGTTGAGGGGGCGTTTCTTCGCAAGCCCACGTTCATCGACCTGCGCAAGTCTCCACTACAACACGATGTCGTCTACAGAGGACGCCGACAGAAACGTGAGTGAGGACGACCTTTTGACGCTCGGTGCACTCGCGGATAACGCCGCCAGTGACATAAAACCAGACGCTAAGCCTGCAGTCTCAGTCCCGGTAGACGCATCATTAGAGGGTGGTCTAGCAGAACTAAGAGTGGCCATGACCATGCTTCTTAACATACAACGAGAGCAGATGATGCGCTCAAGACCCACTCCTGCTGGAAGTACGCCCCCCAGGGACTTCCTAAGGCTCTCGCTTAGCGTTCCGTTTTTTTCTGGGTACGCAGATAGAAAGTCAGTTGCGATGTTCGTCTCGGAACTGCGGGACTACCAATCTGCGTCGGGAATTGACGACGAATCCATCCTCACCCGCCTTTTGCCGGTTGCACTGACAGACAGTGCAGCACTGTGGAGGCAAAGACAAACTAAATTCACAAGTATGTCAGATTTTGAGGCACGATTTAGGACGGAGTTCCTGCCTCCGGATTACAGCGTGCAAAAAGACGAGCTGCGCGTGCGCACACAGCACCCGGAAGAGTCACTTATTGAGTTTGTAAGGGCTCTCCAGGGCCTGTACGATATCGCCGACGCCGTGGCACCGGACGCGGAGAAGAGAAATGGTCCGCGCTCCCGCATGCACAGTGGGACAGGCATCTTCCGTGTGCGCGGCTACTTTTTCCTACCGCGCCATGGCCTCATGTTGTTTTTAATTTCTAGTTCCTCGTGCCAGACAGCGGCGACGCAGCTCCCATCATCAGACTACCCCCCATGGCTGCATCAGTACTGTACGGAAGTACTGACGTCGGACCCGTGCTCGCTCATCTGAGAAGACCCTTGCTGACCCAGAAGGAAGGCCCCCCCAAAGACCATCAAAGACGTCCTCTGTTTTCGTTTTTGGAAGGGGGGAGATGTGTGGGCAACCTGGCGATTCCAAGCGGTTGGCCCAGGCTGCCTCTCCGACAATCATAAGTGGTTATCTTGACCACGAGGGGGCCAAGGGCAACTGGCCACGCGAGCGGCGCTCCGCCGCTGATAAAAGGCCGTCGCAGCGGATGCGGGGGGGCTGTTGGGATCGCGGCGCAGGCGATAGCGGTCATTAAATGTTTACGTGTTGTTGAACCGGTGTGCTGTGTCATTCTCCGAGACGGGTAGCAGCAAGGGAAATCCCACAACTCATATACACTTCCACTGCAAATTTGATTGAAATCAAACAGGCAGTACAGAAGTTGTAGTGTCCCCCCTTAAATAAATTCAGCAGGCTTTCTTTTGTACTGTCATTTTTTGGTTTGACAAACACTGGCTTAGATGGACGTCGGCTCAGAAAATGTTTGCGCCTCTGTTTGATCTTTCGATACAGATAACGCAATGTTCACAAACTTGCACATTTTACCACCAGCGCTAGTGCCACAGTCTCAATAATCTTCAGCTTTCTGTGATGTGTAGTTCATTTATGCGAGCCAGAAAAACAGGCTTTATTTTCTTTCATAAATCCAACAGTTCATTTATACGAGCCGGAAAACCGGGCTTTAGTTTCTCTCATGAACCTGGCATTCAGTAGATTGCGATTATTATTCCTCCACCTGCTTTCTCAATTAAACCCAATGAAAAGATACATGTCATGGCCATTTTTAGTTTAGACAGTCATTACTTTCCAGACATTCATTGCAAAAATTAGCTTAAGAGGTTTTTTAATACTTGAACCAACTGAATTTAATTTTTTTTTTCCATTTGTTTTTATGTTAAAAAAAAAAAGACAAAAAAAACCTTTTTCGAAAATTTTTGGTGTTTTTGTTTGAGCCCTCGCATCTCTACCGCACGGTTCCCATCTACTCACAGGTATCGAGTCATGTCCTCAATGTCCACCAGCATGGAGTCCTGCTCCATGTGCAGGTCGTCTCGTTCTAGCAAGAAACGCACCAGGTCCTCGTTGTGACCTGAAACCAAGGAACAAATGTTGGCTCCGACTCAGTGACACAGGTTGCAGCGAGGGCATCGCCGTGCACATTAAGGTCGGTGAATTGCTATACATAAAATCACCAAGTGTGGCGTATGCTAAGTGAACTCTGAGCACATGGCATACACCATCAATCACAATCTGTAGAGTAATGCTTGGAATTGAAAGAATTGGGGTGGTCCAGCTTAACCAATTTCCTTGTAACAACCATTTTAAAAATGAGAAAGAAAAACGAAAAAGAAAAAAAGCAAAGAAACATGCACAAATATTTTATGCGGAAGTTTGAAAGCTGGTGATTTGGAAGTTTGTGGGTGTGCCAGTTTTCACTGGGACTTCTTTTCTGCATCAGGTAGGCCTTTAGACCACAAAAGTGGAATGCTGGCTCGCTTGCTCACCGACAAGCGGGCTATGGCAGGCCAGCCCTCTCAAATTGGATTCAATTACGCGGGGAAGTAATTTTTAATTCATTGACTGCATGGCCGTGACATGACACAGCCACAAAGCATGCGAGTTTCGGTACGCCGGGAAATTTAGTAGCCCAGTGGTTCTAAAATTGGTGCTTGCGGACCCTTTGGCGTCCCTGAATGCTTTCTTAGGGCCGCCGAGAAAGCCCTTGACCGTCAGTCAAGCAGCGCGATCAAACTCCCCATTTTAATTGATGCTGGTCATACCACAAAGGCAAATAGACCATACCATATGTGCCGAGTAAAAAGGGTCAATCACTCTCTGTTTCAGAACTCAAAGTTGGTTTGCTTGCATTTAGTTTTTTTCACTTACTGTTTCGTTGTTGTAATTACCTAATCAACCAATCCCCCCACTCCCCCCCCCCGTCAGATGGAGGCGTCAATCACTGCCGGAAATCTAGAAGGGGTTTTCAAAACATCAGTGGTTGAAAACCATTGTAGCAGCCCACACTAAGCCTACAGTTGAGTTCTAGCAACCGGAAAACGTACCGAACCAATGGGCCTTGGGTATGCGATGTTTCACACACAGGCATATTTTAGTGGAGGATTTTTATCTTGTGAAATTTCGAGGCACAACTCCATCACTGCGAAAAATTAGAATGTCATTGGAAGCGTCAAAAACATAGCCAGTCGGCATCGAATCAATGTCAAACAGGGTGCACAAAAAAAAGGGACAAAGGAAGAAGAGTGTGACAGAGAAGCGCACGTCCATGGTACGGGTTTCCTTTTGTCCGTGTCATTTGTACGTCGTCTTATAATGGAACACCGTCCCTAGCATTTTCGGTGGAGGCACTCCGGCAGAAACGACAAAAGTGGCTCGACACTCATACTTGCGGCACCATCTAGCAGCTGGCCCACTAAGCAAATGGTTCTCAAACTACGCGAAGAGCAAGTCGTCTGCTTCTTGCGCAGGAATTGCGGTGACGTCAGAACGACGCAGAGCTCTGATTGGCTTTCATTGGAGGGATGGTGGGTAGACCTCGATGCAGATGCCTCGAGGTCTACCCACCGTCTTTTCAGCGAGCTAATAAGAGCTCCGAGTACTGACATGATCGCAACCACTGTGCAAGAAGCAGACAAACTTGCACCCCACACTGCATGGGCAGCCCAAGTTGGGCATGCCCTTACTTTGGCCCCCTGAAGCACACGTCTGTGCTAATTTTGCCCTCGCATATCCGGAGTGGGACCCACGGCAGTATTGCACAGACAGCCTAATTGAGCGTGCCCTCACGTAGCCAAGGCAGAGCCCACGCAACACCTTTCCCCAAAAAATTGCTATTCCGACGCGTAATAGCAAAAGAAAAAACAAATCAAGTGTTTGCTAATCTGCAGTTGCGTCGGCTGGTTATGGGAACAGCTGTGTCACATCACAAATTTATGCGGTAGTCAACAAAACCTGTCCCCCTCCGCTGCTACGCTCGCCGTCGGTCCCGTGGCACACTGTGTTTTGTCTCGACCGCTCGTCGCAACTTTCGGCAATGCTAATCCTCGAAATGTAATTGCAGAGGGAGTGGTTGGGGACTCCGAAGACAGAACCCAACGGGAAACCAGGCAGTCCCCTTAGAGACGTCGCACGAAAAACGGCGTGCGAGTTGAGGGGTTTTTGGACCTTTGATTTGTTTTCTTCCATTTAAAATAAAAACTAGCTTGCACAAAAAAAAAAATGGTTTCCTCTTCTTCATACTACTGGCGACTCAGATTAATTCCCGCAGTTAATCGAACACAAACTTCTAAAAATCGTTGCACCGTCCCTTTAAGTCCAAACAAAACCGGCGTCTATAAAGATTGAGTACCGAACAATGGTCCTTTGCGTCGTCGACTGCTCCAGGGTATGCAGTCGATTGCGACGCAAAAAGGCTCAGCAGCCGAAAAACGCTGCATCTCCACACAGAAAGGGATATACTCCAAAAGTTCACCATCATGGCGTCCGGCAAGATTTCGAGCAAGAAGTATGCCATGTAAAGCCACCCTATGGAGTCCCTCTCCCGTCTTGACTGTAGAGGACTCACTCTCAATCTGCGAGTGGAGGTCGTTGACGATGACCTGCAGCTGTGCCACGTTCATGTCCGTCAGCATCTGGCGGCTCAGCCGGTGGCGACCGTCGGGGAATGCAATGCCAACCTGCCACGGGAGGTCAAGGGTCGCTTGGTCATTGCAGTAGACACGCTACGCGCACCATGTATCAGGCCCAGTTTTATTCCTCAGTTCCAACGAGCAACATCACACGCATAAATTAGGGCAAAGCAAATTGTTGTGTGTATGTTTATACAGCCGGAAGTTAGTCTGCCTCAATGGGTGTCTGGTGTCTCAGCTGTAGATGAGCAATTTAGCCAGTGCAGTACAACCGCTACCCTGGGGCCTTTACCTTTACCACGCAGCAGTGATACACGACCGCACGCCGGTACGACGCTCGCCCAGATCGAAACAGCCATGAGCAAGGATTGGGCCCAGGATCCTGGGTTCTGCAGCATGGGCATTTGCTTCACGTGCTCCGAACTGGTGTGCGCTAGACCACTCGGCCACTGATCCCCCTCATGTATTACGGCGCTGAAGCAGAATTCGTTTATGGGCTGGTTTCTAAGTCTAGAATGGCACAGAGAGTTGCGACAAAAACATAACATGGGCGGGTGTGCAGTTGGTGCCACTCTAGGTTACGTGGTCATGTGACCTGGCTTTGCAGTGACACGTAACCGTGTAAGTTGACGTGACTGCGTTGTGGGACACTGTAACTTGATGTCAGCTTCACACGACCACACAGCTTGATGTCATAGTGTCACACGACCACGTAACTTGATGTCAGTGTCGTGTGACAACAAACTTGATTTCATAGTATCACACGGCTATGTAACTTGACGTCAGTGTCATGTGACTACCTAACGTAACTTGATGTCATAGTATCACACGGCTATGTAACTTGACGTCAGTGTCATGTGACTACCTAACGTAACTTGATGTCATAGTGTCACAAAACCAGTTAACTTCACGTCACAGTGTCAAGCGACTAACTCGACAGTGCAGTATCACATGACACCACAAAGTCAAGTGTCTCGTGACACTGCATTACAGTGTTGCACGACACAATCCCAAGGTTGGTATGTGTACCACCATCCACTAAAATTAGCGGGAAAATATTGTATGTCACGTGACAACTAGAGCTTAGTGTATTCGGCACTTACATTTTTCTGCAAATGCTAGGGCGTTCTTTTGAGGGTTAATTTTTTGTCCTGCAGATCTTCTGTTTTTAGGTGCAAATTTTAGGGATCGGCAGAAAAATCTGGCGTCCTATCGGTGCTTACGTCAAAGAAAATAGGTCATGGGAACGGGGTTTCTCGACCTAAACGGAATGTGCGCATAACCCCGATACTTAAAAAGCGCCCCAACACTGACGAAAGAAGGGAACGAGATAAGAGAGATGTGGTTCCAAAGAAAGCAGCAGCCTCACAAACAGTTCAATGGAGGCTTTGTTCTAGGTTGACACACAATAAAATTGTAGGTAAGTTTTCCTCTTCCTTCGAAAGGCGAGTTTTCTTTACACATTCGAGGACAACTGAATTTTAGGGTTCTTCGGTTTTCCCCGACCTCAATCAAACCATCTCTGGGGAGGTAATTTTCGGAGTTAAGTGGTATTTACCGAAAACTGGAACCCGTCAAGTTGTACCTCATGGCTTTTTTCCTGATCGCCACCATAATCTTATGGTGGAAATAAACACTATTATTATTATTACTATTATTACTATAACTTCGCAGATGTGCTAAACATCTGAATTGGAAGGGCCAATGCTCTGACTGCGACTACCAGCCCGGAAGAGCAGCCGACAAATGAAACGATCGTCTCCTCCGCATCGCGTGTGCGCAGTTTTACATTTAGGTAGCACTTTCAAAAGTGTAAATAATTTTCGTTGTACACAAATTGCCCCCCTCCCCCTTTCCCACAAAGATTTTTTTTTAACTGCCTGGATAGGACACATGTCACAAAATGCACTTTACTAGAAAAAAATGAAAAATAAAATGCATTAGTTAAGCTACAAAACTCTATTCAGACGGGCCAACGAAGGGGCGAACGGGCTGAAGGTGGATCGATCCTCCTTTCCACGTTTCTCTCACGTGCTTTTCTGCAGCTGACACCGATCAAGGAAAGAAGTGTGTTACGGCAGGTAGCGCCATTTTAGCATGCACAATTTTTGCAACTTCAGGACAGTCTGCAGCTGCAATCGTTGGATTCGATCTCGTGCTGGAATGTCGTCCTGCCGAACTGTGACGCAGTGATAGTCCCCGATCGATTGGTGGCATGGCCTGCGCAAGGTGTCCTTTTTGAACGGCACAGCGCCGACTATATCCTGTTTCATCTTACGATAAACCACGGCGGACGCTACAAATCATCGAAGCCAATCCAGCACTGTAAATGCATCGTGTGCCTACGTGCCCCCCGCATCGTGGTGCCGCTTCTCAAGGCCACACGACACTCCCACGGTATTAGACTGGCTTCGCTGGCTCGCAGCGCCCTCTGCAATCCATAGTAAGAAGGAAAAGAGCATAGCAGCTGGCCGAGGTGACTGCTGTTCGCTGCCCAGGGGCTGTCACAGCACAGCAAGGTGAGGCACCTTTCTGCTTTGTCAACTTCCAGCCAGTGAGGGGCTCAGAAAATGACTCCTATCTTGACATTTGATCTCTAAATTAAAGTTCTGAGCTAGTGTGCACAAATAGACAGAGTCGCTCCAAAGTCCAAATGCGTCTCGAGGCGTAAATACTCTGTTCATTTCTTTTTTCAAGAAAGTGCATCTAATGACATCTGTCCAGGCAGTTAACAAAAAAACTGCTTTATGGAAAGAAGTGCAGCGTCCCCTCAACTATACTTGATGCATTGATGCTAGTGCTGATACAGCACTGATATCAGCACTGATACTAGTGCTGATGCAGGAGACACTAGCACCAATGCAGTGCTAACAATAGCACTGATGCTATAGTGCAGAGGCAGCACTGAAACTAGTACTGATGTGGCACTGGTACTAGCACTGATGCAGCACTGACACTAGCACTGATATCAGTGCATGTGTGAAGTGTGAGGGAGTGAAGTGACTCACAATCTCGGCGATGGGTGACTTCTTGCGCTGCTGCCTCTCAACCTCCATCTGCATGCGGGCCATCTCCTTGGCCTGAGCCAGGGCCATCCTGGCCTCCGCCTGCAGACGCGCCTGACGCACGCTGAATGCCTCCTCGCCCTCTGGTGGCTGCCGGCACACACGGCGTCGCCCAAACAACAGCGAGGGTCTCCGGGCGGGGCCAGGGGCACTGGCCTCTACCACCTGTGTGGAAAAGCAAGCCTCTCAGCATGAGACATATGCACACAAGTCTGCCCTAAGATTAGAGCATTAAAGTCAGTTCCAGACTGCACGTGTTCGTGTGAACATGCATCACACATAAAACAAGAAACTGTAGAGAACATTCCCCGACATTCTGAGATATTCTGTTTTTGTAGGCATCATTCGCAACTTTCAGCAATGGTCGTACAATGGAGTGACAATTGTGTTCCCTGGTTTGTGGATTATAGAACTCACAATAAAGGTGCTTGCTTACACCTTCCTTACACAAAAGACTGGAAGATCGGTGGCCAAGTCTGTTAAAACACAGTAACTCTAAGCATGTGGAGCAAAGGCTCGCCCCGTAGAACAAAGGAACCCTGGGCTTGAACCCCGCCCCTGCCCGTTTCGAGGAGGAGAGTAACAATCATGGTAAGCAGAGAACCTTTTGGGGGGAGAGGGGGGGAGAGTTGTTTTGCTTTTATTAACCAACAACATACACAGTATAGCTCTCCACTTCTCTCTTTAATATATTTTCCAGTGTCTGGAGGTGCAGATATAGGAGAATAGCATTGCGCAAAGTGGGAGACGCAAGACAATCATTGGGGGCTGTAACATCTTAACCTTTTGGGGTCATGTGAGTTTTCTCCTTGTTGGCCCCTCAGGTCAGAATTAGTTTATGCAAAGGTGATAGAAGCAACAAGTGACTTCAAATTCAACGTTTTTATTTTAATATAGTAATATGTTCAATTGAAAATAACTCTGCATTTTCCTGGGTGCTTTTAGTTCTTGAAATGCTAGCGGTACTTGCGCAGCGTGTGGTACTTTTTAAAGCAAGCGCCAGGGTGCAGGCCAGGTTGACGAGTGCAGGTTTTGCAGTAGAACACTGTTTCGCGCCGTTGCCCCTTGGTTTTTCTGTCGCTGCAGACGGTGCAGTCCTTGCTTTTGCTTCCATCGAGTTTATAAATAAAGTGGTTCTTTCCACTCAGTCTCTCTTCGCAGTCTCCATTGGAAGAGCGCCCCGTTTCCTTGGCTGGTTGGGGACATTTCCAACAAGGTCCTTTATCAATGCCTTCCGAAACGTGAGGTGCCGTGGCGGTTGCTCGCCTTGGCTGATTTTTTTGAGGCAGAAGAGGATGTAGCTGTTTACGTCTCCCACTTCCAGCAACCAAACAAATAGACGTGCGTGACGGCGTCGGCGCACGTCTCCTCATCACTCTCGGTGCTGTCACCGTCACTCTCTGAAGACTCATCAGAGACTATTTCAGAGGCCTCGTTTGGATCATAGGTGTCTTCTCCGCTAAAATCACATTCACTGTCACTTGAGTCACAAGCCTTTCTGTAAAATGCGGATGGAGTAAAGGCTGCCATGTTGAACTCGTAAAAGGGCGCGCAACATTCCCGCCCGCGCATTTCGCAAAAAGAATTTAAAAAAATTTGTAGTGTCACTTGCGGCACCTTTCGGAGGGCAAAGAAACTAAGAAAGTCTAGTTTACATTCCCGATGACAGACGGCGCAAGTTGAAATTGTCGGGGCGCGCCCGACACCTGACCGCAAAGGAGAAATGGGCCTGTCGGGGGAGCCCCGACATTTGACCAGAACCTGAATATTTTTTTGTTGGGGGTCACCCAACACATGACTCCAAAGGGTTAAAATACCAGGGTATAAGTAAACCAGTGGTTTTTAACCTCTAATGAGGGTGTCTAGCAAATTATTTTTAAATTCCCCGATTTTCCAAATTCTCCCTGACAATTTCAGGAGAAATTCACTGACCACTATAGAGGCGGTTAAATATATAAAACCACTACAACAGAAGGCATTGAGATTTGAGCACTGCGAGGATGATTTTGCACGGGCTTAATTCAACCTGCGTATTCCGAAATATTCGGGTTCGTCCAGTTCGGATTAAACGAGCGCTTTCTTGCCGCCGACATCATCAGTGAAGAGGCCACTTCCGGAAACACTATGAAAACACGATGCTCAACCACACACGTCAGTAAAGGTCTATTCACACGATGCATCTTGCCGGCGAATCTTGTGTCGCGAAACTAGGTTTTGGGAAACAAATTACCCGTGTGAACAGGACTGAAAAAGTGGCGCGTGCTCCTTGCTTCTGGAGCAATCTTTTGCTGAAACCTCACCGAGGCCTGTCAATCACCTGAAGGAGAAACGCAGATGCTGCCAATGGCCGCTCGACTTCGCTATGACGTCTGATCATCGAGGCGGAGCGAGCTTTTGGAGGAGTCTGAATTTTGGCCGATTCCATATCTGAGTCAAAGCCAAAAAAAGAAACCAAACATGGCGGCGAGCGACAAGCAGAGAAGCGGTGCGTATGGGCAATATGAGTCTTGGTCCTACCCAGTTGCAAGTGTGTGAATGGCACTTTAGCAGTATGGGTTGGTGGTATGGTGCAGATTCATCAACAGTTGCGATGAGCAGAAGCACCACATATAAACATGATGACTGGGTGTAACTTTCTTTTAACGGTGCAAAAATGTCAGAAATGCTTCAAGATCATCCGCCTGTTCTTTGACATTCACGGTCTTCACCAGGTTTGGCAGGACTAGTAAACCCAGTGAGCCGAATCTGACGAAGTTAATTGAGTGGTATTAATAAAGCAGGCTGTCTCTTCACATTGTGCATACTTCACATAATTTTTATGCGAAACGCTTGATATTCCTGGTGCAGATAACAAGGTTCGGCGAAATTCTCGTGATTCAATACGTCGCAGGTTTCGCGCGTCAAACTCCACGTGTGAACAAACCGAATTCGCAAAATCTCGGTTTTGCTAAACTGTTGCGCATTGAAAAGATGCATAGTGTGAATAAGCCTTAACCAAATGGCAGCATGGCCGCCAGATGCACACTTTCGGATACTTTCGGCTTAAAGCTTGGATTAGATTAAAGTCTGCGGCTTTCCCATTTGTTATTAAATCTAGTAGCTTTAACTGGATCTAGCCTAGTGTTGCGCTCTCAATCTAATCCAATCCAAGGCTTGGACTCGATTTGTTGGCTGTTCTCTTTGCATCGGACAGCACACTCTACATCGGGTGAGCAGAGCCCACGCTCAGCTCTAAGCAGAATTTATTGCCTATTTTTCTGTCCCCAAGTCCCCAAGTCTTTGCTCAGGGCACTCAATGGCGTTTCCGGCTCATTTCCCGTGACTGTGCTCACTTTTTGACAATATCCCTGACGATAAAGTTCCCTGACAATATCCGGTTTTCCCGGTCACTAGACACCCTGCTGATGTTTCAGGGACCCTTTCTAAATTCGCAAAAGTGATGGGGGACCCTGCACCTTGACAAAAAGATAAATGAAAAAATTTTACTAAATGCGTGAGAACAAATTTTGAAACCCTGAAATAGATAATAATCAACCCTACTCACTCAGTGCACATAGTTTGATCTGTTTAGCTTTGTGGGACAGCCAGCATCAACAGAAAAAAAAACTGTTTTATTGCTAGACTTGACCATCGTTCGAAGGCTTTGGGGATCCCAAGAAGTCCTTTGGGGATTTTAAGGGGTCTGTGGACCCCCATTTTAGAAACAATGCCATAGACCTTTGCATCATGGAAAGTGGGCAAAAAGTATTTGCCATTCAGTGTCCCAAAGAGAACACACTTTGCATTTAGCTTTGGACCGAATGCCTGGTAAGATTCTATAACAATATTCCCAAATGCATGCATTGAAAGTCTGCCTATTAAAAATGGTTCACTTGAGGGCATTAGCAACTTCTCATACATGGCAGGCCATTTTTTATGACCTGCAAAAGGAACCTAGCAATGGACTATGCAGAGATGACAGTTTTTACATAAAAATGCTATCAGTATTATGACATTGAGAATGGCATTTTGTGCTCCCAGACTAGGTACTATTGCATCTTGCCTTTCATTTATAATGCACCTTCTTACATCCACATGCTCTGAGAAACTAGAAATGCAGTCTTTGTTCAAAAACAGTGCCCACCGGAATCTGCCAAATATAATGAATGATGTCCACTAAAATTATTGTTCATCTCACCTCTTCATTTGACCCATCATGACTATTTTTATGCCATTTTACTAAATGTTCCACGTACTGGTAGAAACACTCCTTGACAAACTAAAGGGTTCACAAAAGGTTTGTCTCCTCTTCTGACATGCTAGTGATCTTTAAGAGTCTTGCCGTTTTTACTGTTGTTTGGAGAGGTGCCGCAGGTGGTGGTGGTGGTGGTGAAGGTTGCTGCTGCTGTTGATCTTCCTCCTGTTCCCTGGGGTCCTCCAAGGTCTGGTTCATGAAGCAGACCTGGAGACTCTTGCTGCCCTGCAGCCTGGACGTCAGGCTGGGCTTGCGGCGCTCAACTTCCTCCACGTCCGTGTCCATGGCCAGCTTGCGCCGAATCTCCTCCCGGTCATGGCGACGCTGCACAACCAACAGGGCACATCCTCAGCAAAATCAATTGGACAGATCTCCAGCACAACCAACAGTGTACATCCCCTGCACAACCCACAGGGCACATCTTTAGCTCAACCTACTGGGCAGCACATCTTTGGTGCAACAACAGGGCACATCCTCAGCACAATCAACAGGGCATACCTTCAGCACAAACAGGGCAGATCTTCAGCACAACCTATGGGGAACATCTTCAGTGCAACCAACAGGGCACATTTTCAGCGCAATCTAAAGGGCACGTTATCAGCACAACCAACTGCACACATCCTCAAGGGATTCATTTTACCAGTGTTTGAGTCCTTCGCTATGCTGGTCGCCAAACTTCTCTATACTGCTATGGTAGCTTTTTGCAGTGGTGTGATTGGTGAGAATCATTTTGGAGCACCAAAAGTAACTTTTGGAGCACAAGTACACACTTAATTTTCATTCCCAGCACTGTGAATATTATATGTTAAAATTCACATGTTGACCTGTCTATCAAAAGACATTGCATGCTTTGCTTTCTCACTTCTATGGAACCTTTTGTTACCATCAATGCACGACAGGTTTGATTCCCTTAAACACAGAACTAGGTAGCTGTTTAATTGCACATAGAAGTACCAGGCATGACAAAAATATGCTAAGTCAGTGGTTCTCAACCATTGATGTTTCGTGGACCCCTTGTAGATAGCCAAAGGAGATGGAGGACCTTGTTTTGGGTGAGAGGAATAGAAAGGTATAGATTAATCATGATAATAATTTTATATATGAATATAACTATTTTCTAGCAGGAAGTAGACTTATCTTAATCACATACACATGAGAGAACTCATCCGAAAATTTAAACGTTTCTTCTCAATGTGAAATAAGACAACTTAAATTGCAGGGCTTGACTGATGAGACAGGGGTTCACGTACCCCTAGGATGCCATCGCGGAACCCCAAAGGGTCTGCGGACCCCCATTTGTGAACCACTGTGCTAAGTGATGAACAGATTGAACTGCTGTGAATGATTATTTTAGGTACGGGGACAAAGGTAAACCAAATTACACATCATGGAAATAATGTTAGAAAAGAATACTGAGCACCTAAAAGGGTGTTTCATTGAAGTCCTAAAGGTTGTAATAAAACAACAATTATTAAACCAAATAAAAGCAAAGCTTTTGTCATTTGATTATTAATAATTAACTTTTATATGTAGAACTTCATGATAACAAAAATCGGCATGTAATGATAAATTAACCTTAGAAACCATTCAGTGGAACTCGTCAAGCTTCATCGCAAGTTTCCATCCTTTTCTCTAGCTAATTTAGTTTTAATTTACTCTGCTTGCAGTGCCATTGCACAGATAAAAGCTATGCAAAGGTGATAACTAAACAAGAAAGCTGACATAAAAACAAACTTATAAAGCCGTCCATATATCTCTCCCCGCAAGCGCACAAGTACCCTTGCTAAACGTTGAGTTTGAAAAAAAGATTGTCAGAATGTTGAAGTCTGTCATATGCTAGCAGCAGTCGTATTCAGTTTACACTGCAAGGTGGAGTTGTTATATCAACCCATATCACTTTTTTTTTGTCCTGCTCTAGAGGAGTGTTTTCTTTTTAGTGCACGGCTGCCGCGCTGCGGTGAGGCAAGAAAAGCAAAATTACGATGCCTACTTTGCGGTTCTCGCTTCACCTCTGCGCACCTGTGCCAAGTGAGAAGCGCACTGAACGAAGCTACCTAATCTATCAGAGCAGAGCACAAACACGAGAAATATTGCGCGACTTTGGGCTACCATCAGTGTTTGATACAGATACCAAATCGAGTAGAATGTTATATAAGGTGATAATCGGGAGTTCTGAAAACTCAGACAAGCCTAACATGACGACAAGGTCGTGTAGCAGGGTGTCAGTTATATTTTCAATATTAATAAGGTAAAATATTGTTTTGGTGCAATGTTGGCGCAAATTCGTCACATTTCGGCAAAATGTAGCAGAGTGTAGAAGGGTAAGCACCTTGGCACAGTAATCAAATCACTGTCTTTGTGACCGGGCCCTGCACCGAGTTGGCAAGGCAGCAAATAGCCACTAACCTAGCTACTATCACTGAGAGTCGGGCAACTATGAAGTGCTACCAGAATGTAGGACCCAGTCTAAATTAGCCACCCCTAAATTGTGGTGATACGCCGTTGCACTGAAAGTTTCTGTTCATGAAAGAGCCTTTGGCTCTCTACGCTCAAGCAACCGCTCAAATGTGACCATCTCAAACAACCTCCTAAAATGATGTCATATTTCATTCCTCTCTTTCATCTTAAAATGAGATTTCAAAACCACCACCACTGTAAAAACTCAACGCCGCGAGTGGCAGCTGAAAAAAAAAAACCCGAAAAGGATTGTTTTTTAAGCTCTGTACAGATCAATAAAAAAATTAACAGTGCTTGCATTCAATGATCAATTACAGGGCTAGCAAAAAGTTAACGTACAAGTTTTTTTTTTTTTTTTTTTATAAAGCTATTTTTTAGTGCAATATTTGATTGGCTCGCTCAAAGTGGAGAGGCTAAACAAAAACATGTCCACCTAACGGACACCCCCTTATGGACATTTCCCGGTGTCAATAGGGGGTGTTCGTTAGGTGGACGTTCCATGACCAGAGGTGTCTCGAAAGACCTTACCGACACCTTCACCAGAACCACCAACAGTGGATAAATAGAGCACATCCAGATTTTTGTGCAACTTCATAAAAATTAAATTGGTTATAGGGAACATATATGCAGGGTTCTGCGTTTTCGGTTTTATTTTGTCAGATTCCGTATACCTTTTGTTCTTTACCTGGACAGCAAATTTTTCATATAAAGTTAATTAAACCAAAATAAAGATTCTTTTCAAATACTTGAAAGGAAGAAATGCAAATCAGCTGGTTACCTGTGTCATACAGTACCAAAAAATACTGACCTGAAAATTTAAAACCAATGTTAAAAATACTTTTGTATATTATTTTTTTTCCCATTTAGGCTAAAAATGTTAAAGCCTAAGCACATGGAAGTATTAAACAGTAATAAATGGTCTCCAACACTGCTAAAATGGCAGTTTGACGGCTTCCTAACACTTGCTTAACAAGGGTTTCAAAGCTGACCCAACAAGTCAGACTTATGACCATATTATTTTATCGAGGGAAAATTATACTTACCACTTTTCTCAAAACAGTATTTAATATTTTCTCTATATCTAAAATTATGTTTCCTCTCATTTTATGTTGCCTCAAATATCCAGGTTTTCACCTTACCTATGATTTATCCTGGCTTCTTCATATCAACACAGTTAACATTGATCCATTGCATTCCCCTGGATACCTCAAAATGCATGTAAAACTGCATCACATAACTGATAACACACATGCAAACTTTTAATTGGACAAAGTGAATTGAAATACTCAATATATCCCCTTGTGTTTTATCCCTCTTGTCAACAATTAAGTAATTTCCCCGTATTCAGTTTATCAAATCCAGTCAATGTGACCCACACATTTCTTTAATGCTGAAGGGAGTATCTGCAAGAAATGCTGCAAAAGCTGCGAAGCCTTTGTGGCTCCACATCTGCTTTTCTTTAACTCGTCAGTGCCATCAAATACTGGAACAGTCACCATATCTGATGGCAAAATGTTTCGCAGCACTCTATCAAACCTCTGCCTTCCCCTATGCTTACTCTTTGCTCAGTGATGTTTGCATTTTTCCCTCGGCCCTTTCAATTTTTTGTTCTCGTGTAAACAAAAGTGGGCCTATTTTCTATGCTGTGCTATAGTAAAGCTTATCGTTTCACAACATGTTATTAGTGTCCGGTAATTCTACGCTATCTGATAACTGACCGGATGTGTGTCGTAAAGATAATTTCGACTATACCTGCTTCCTTTTTTACACCCTCCAATGTGAATGTTATTGAGCATTATCAGTGCTTATGCCAAGAAGCTGCTTTTTCTTGTTCACGATAAACAAGGGTATTTTATAATATGATAAAAGCTATACAAAATAGAGGAACAAGGACAGCTTTCAGTATATTATCTATGTCAACACGCTCATCCAACTCTCTAAGGGTATGTTGAATAATAATAATAATAGACCTATATATTTATTACCATATTTCTTCAGGTAAACGAACAGGTCTGTCGAAACCATGAAAAAGGCTTGTGAAACAGCACCCTACAGTTCAGGATTGAAAGTGTCTGCACCATCTATTTGATTAAGGGATTCCTTTAGCAGGTTTTTGATTTTTGAGTTGGCAACAATGGTCTAAGGTAAATTCAGGTTCTGTCTACTTAGGTAAGCAGTGGAAACAAATTATTTAAAAAGTAAAGTGTTTTTCTTTACTATTTAATAATATTGCCAAGGTCAAATAACAATGAATGAAAACAAACATTTAGGTTTTATGTTACAAAGCAAATGAGGCTTTGGGTGATGCTCTAAATGTTCTTGGGGAAGAGACCACAGAGGGGGCCAAAACCGAAAATTATTAATTGCCCTTTAGTTCATGAGTCACCTCTACTTTTACTCAAGTCAAGTTGTTCTCTCTGCCATACTTAGTCAGAATTTAAATGGCTAATTGGACTAGTTGGTCTTAATACATTTTACGGGTAAAACTTTTTAAGACAAGGACAGAGTAGGAGGTGACAACAGGACAAGGTGCGAGGAAATAGCAGTCGATGAAGCTCACGAATGCAGGACAGTGAAGTTTGTTGGCTACCCAAAAACAGTCCCCATTTTCTTACTGCAAAAATGTCTGAAAATCGCTTACAGTTCTTGCATTTCACATCAAGCCCCGAAACTTTTTCACCTGGTCCACACTGCTAGGGCCACATATGGGTGGAGACAGAGTGTTTGGCAATGCATAATTCATTTTCGCACTGAAAAACTTTTTTTTTTCTTTCCGATTCCTAGTATGTGCTTCTCCATCCTTGCTTAGCCCGTTTAGCATAAACATGCAGCTCTATAATAATAATCTTTATCTCTATGTGTTCAGA